CTTTTAGGAGTTTTGATAGTCTTAGCTCTTACTTATAGATCTATGAGCTACTTTGAGCTACCTTCTACATATACTGTGAGGAAAAGGACAATGTTCATTTTTTTACATATGAATATTTAATTGTTCCAGCAACGTTTATTGAAAAAACTACCATTTCTCCTTTGAATTGCCAAGGCATTATTAACAAAAATCAGTTGACCGTATATGTGTTAGTCTCTTTCTGAACTAATTCTTCTGTGCCATCTAAATGCTGATACTACATTGTCTTCATCACTGTAGGATCATAATAATCTTTGATATCAGGTTGTTCAAGACCTCAAATTTTGTTCTGTTTCAAAATTGTTTTGGCTAGTCTAGGTCCTTATGAATTTTAGTATTATCTTATCACTTTCCTGCAATTCTGACTGGGATTATGCTGAATCTATAGATCAGTATGGGGAGAATTGACATCTTAAGAGTATTGAATCTTCAAATCCCTTCATTTATGTATGTATATAGGTATTTATGCCTTCTTTAATTTCACCAATGTTTTAGTTTTGAGTATACATATATATATATATATATATATATATATATATATCTTGCACACATTTTGTTAAGTTTATCCCTAATTATTTTCTTGAATTACAATTTCCAATTGTTCATTGCTAGTATATAAAAATACAATTGTTTTATGTATATCTTGTATCCTGTGACCTTGATAAACTCACTTATCAGTTCTAACTTATTAGTTCTAGAAGGCTTTTATTGGGTAGATTCTTAGGATTTTTAATATAGATGATAATGTCATCCTTGAATAACCAAGGGTTTATTTTTTCTTTTTCAATCTGTGTACCTTTTATTTACATATTTTTCCTTGCCTTTTTGCACTAGCTGGGACCCCTAGTATGAAGATGAACAAAAGTGATGAAAGTGGGCCCCTCATCTTGCTTCTCATCTTAGAAGGAAAGCACTCTGTCTTCTGCCATGAATTGTGATATTAACTATAGGGTTTTTTGTTTTTGTTTTTAATAGATGCCCTTTGTCAAGTTGAGGCAGTTTACTGCTATTCCTAGTCTGCTGAGTTTTGATAAGAAATAAATGTTAAATGTTGTAAAATACTTTTCCTGCAACTATTAACGTAATCAAACGGTTCTTCTTATCGTGTCTGTTAAAATGGTGACATACATTGATTGGTTTTGAAATGTTAAGGCAATCTTGTATTTCTAAGACAAAACTCACTTGGTAACGGGGTATTACGCTTTTTGTATGTTGCTGTATTTGGCTTGCTAATATTTTCTCAAGAACTTCAAGTCTATGTTCATCAGGAATGCTACTCTGTAGTTGCCTTGAAATATCTTTAGCTGGTTTTGATATTCAGTGTAATGTTAGCTTCATAAAACAATAGGAAGTTTTTCCTTCTCATCCTTTTTTGTAGAAGAAATCATGTAGAGTTGTTATTATTTCTTCCTTAAATGTTTGATAGAATTTACTTGCGAAGTCATTTGGGTCTGAAGCTTCTTTTGTAGGAAGGTTTTAAAGTATAAATATTCAATTAAAAAAAAAACAGATATGTGGCCATTTGAGTTATCCTTGCGTGGGATTTAATAGTTCTGTGTTTTTCAGGGAATTAGTCAATTTATTGTCAATTCTACTTCAATAAAGGTGGGGGGAAAAAGGAATTAGTCAATTTCGTCTAAGTTGTCATGTTTATTATCAAAGTTGTTCATAATGTTTATTACCCCTGCAAGGTCTGTTGGATTTTTACTGTCCTTTTGTTCATTCTTGATATTGGTAATTTGAGTCAAGCTAGAAATTTTTCAATTTTATTGATATATTCAAAGTTATATTGATTTTTCTCTTTCTAATGTCCATTTTTATCTTTATTATTTACTTACTTCTGCTTATTTTGGGTTAAATTTCTTCTTTTTCTACTTTCTTAAGGTTAACACTTTAATCACTGACTTCAAGATATTGCTCTCTTTTTTAACATAGGCATTTTCCTCTATGCATTACTTTGCTGCACTCCACAAGTTTTGACATGTATTTTCATTCAGTTCAAAATATTTTCTATGGTTCTTTGTGATTTCTTCTTTTCCTGTTTTATTGCAACCCGTTAGTCTTATTGTTTCTCCTTAAAGGTGATGTGTCTTTTTTTCTCTGGTTGCTTTACAAATTTTCATTTTGTCTTTGATTTTCTTACCCCTGCAAGGTCTGTTGGATTTTTACTGTCCTTTTGTTCATTCTTGATATTGGTAATTTGAGTCAAGCTAGAAATTTTTCAATTTTATTGATATATTCAAAGTTATATTGATTTTTCTCTTTCTAATGTCCATTTTTATCTTTATTATTTACTTACTTCTGCTTATTTTGGGTTAAATTTCTTCTTTTTCTACTTTCTTAAGGTTAACACTTTAATCACTGACTTCAAGATATTGCTCTCTTTTTTAACATAGGCATTTTCCTCTATGCATTACTTTGCTGCACTCCACAAGTTTTGACATGTATTTTCATTCAGTTCAAAATATTTTCTATGGTTCTTTGTGATTTCTTCTTTGACTCAGAATTATTTAGAAGCATGTTATTTTAATTTCCATGTATTTGGGGATTTTTTTTTCAGGTAACTTTGTTATTGATTTTTAGTTACTTCTGCTGTGGTCTGTATTAGTTTCCAAGGTTGGTCTGCTACAGCACACTGGGTGTGAATTCTGCCCAGTGTCATCTGTATTACGAGGATCCTCCAATCAGGCTGGTGGGAATGTAAATGATTCTCCATTCTGTGTGAGCTCTGGAAATTGTTTGGCCTACTACTTTCCATTGGATCTTTCCTTGGATTCTAGAGGCTTACCTCCTATATGTGCAGGTCAGTCCTCAGCCAAAGACATAAGGGCATCCCTCTGTAGGTCTCTAGAGCTTTTTCTGTGTTCCGCATCTTCCTTTTTGACATTCTGCCCCACAAATTCCAATCACCTCATCTTCCAGAATTTTTTTTTCCTACTTGTACTGAGAGTGTTGTCCGTTGTGACTTAATTGGAAGGAGAAGTCCTCCTTTACTCCTGGGATTTCTTTACCTACATTGTGGGAGTACTGAACTACCACTGCTTTTATTTATTGAGAATCTCCTTGAATGTTGGATATTATTGGGTGGTTCTGTTCTTTGTTTCATGTTTACCATCAAAAGAGTACAGGAGCACCTTACCTGCTTAAAAGGCATCCAATCATTTTACATGGTAAGAATAATCAACAAGATGATCTTTGGAAAGGCCAACATCCGTGGCACAAAACCAATATATTTTTACCCACAGAAGTTCTTAAGAACACACACACACACACACACACACACACACACCCTTAATACCCTGTGTTGTAGTAGACAGAGCTACACACACACACACACACACACACACACACACACACACACACACACACACACACCCTTAATACCCTGTGTTGTAGTAGACAGAGCACATAATCTGAAGACAGAACACCTGGCCTAAACCTTATCTCTGTCATTTACTAGCAAAGTGACCTTCGGCAAATCATTTATCTACTTTGAGTCTCAGTTTTCAATTCATAAAGTTGTTGTAAAGATAAAACAGTATAATATAAAGGCTTTTGTAAACTACAAGCGTGCTGTAAAATTCCGAACATACTATATAGTTTCTGAATCTACAGATCAAAAGCCATAAATTAAATAAACATGGAGATAGATATAACAGATAAATTGACATGGACAATAAACATAAAAATGGACAATAAAAACTGACAATTAACAGTATGACATCAAGGGAAGAGTGAAAACCTTTTAAAGATACCAATAAGAACCCAGTGTAAGCCATATAATATAGGCTTAAACAGCTCCTGCTTAATTCAACAGACCCTGAAGCTCCTACTCAGTAGAGTGATTGATATTTATAAGATTGAAACAAAAAGTAAATAATATCCTAAAAATTATTATTAAAATATAGGAATATCTAATAAATTTTGGAAAGACTGTACTCAAAAATGATTAAAATAAAAATCCCAGTTGAGTGATCTACCAGTGGATTTTGTTTCTACTTAGGAGCCTTTATACCATGTGACTATAGCATGAGTAAGTGTGTGAATAAAATAAAGGATTTGCATCATTAACTCACTCCTACTAATGAAAAACTTTATAAAAGGTATGATTTTTCAGAAGTCTTGCAAGAAAACAAATAATAGACTGTGGCTAAAAACAGATCACAGGAGAGAGTAAAGTGAACATTCTTGGAGTGCAAAAAGCAAAAGGAGCAACAAGATTGCTATACAAAGAAAAGGTCAGAGAGGGCATGTGGCATAGGTTCTTGAAGCGAGAATCATTTGGGGGAACTCTAAATACTGAGATAGCAGGACTGTGTATTAGTTAACACAAGGGTTACTTCAAAAACTTCATGGAAAGATTCATATTATCTTTTAATTCTATTTTTCTATGACCTTTATGAAGTACCCTCGTACACTAAGCTTTACTGATGTTTACAAAAATTATTAAGGGGAAATAGTATGCAAAATGAAACTGCACCAAAAAAATGGTTGTAAAAGTATATTTAGGAATGAGTTAAGAAGATTATTCCAGAGCTGACTATGGAAGAACACTTAAAATATCAAGGTTATGCAAGAAAAAACAAGAGTTCAAAAAAGTACTGGATAAGGGAAGTCAGGAAAAAAAATCAATACTTTGATGTTGTTGGAAACAGATATGGGAGCTGAATCTTTTTCACAGGCCCTGTTATAACACGACCTGTATAGTAAAGAATTCTTTAAACTTTAAAGGTGTTAGGCCAAAACTAACAGTCATTTCATCCTGTATTTAAAGTCAGAATAGAAAAGGCCAAAGAAGCCTAATTTTTGCCTATGCTAAGATTTCATTGTGTGATAAGTGTTATTATTTGCTAACTAAGGCTAAGGTATAGTAACCAAGTTCTAAAGTAGTGATAGTTGAAAAGACTGTGTAAAAACAATTTCCAAAACAATTCAGTAATCTTATAAATAAACCAGTATACCTTGGCAAGTGATTTTACAATAGGATTCTCCATAATCCCCTTGAGGAAAATTAGGTCAATTTCTTCTGCTCCTGTAGATGAAGGCAGCTCCGTGAGGTTTTCCAAGACTTGCTGCATTGCTGCTGTGATATAAGCAACACAAAAAAAGAAAAAGAAAAAAAAAAAACTCTTAAATTCCAAGCCTGTATGGAGTAAGATTATAAAATAATGCAAATAAAAAGACATTGACAAACTCTTTTGAAAAATCACATTTTTAAAAACTGAATTGTTAAACAGTATGAGTTTCAAGTTGATTCCCATGAATTAGTAGCAGGATGGATTTTTACATGCAATGTGGGATTTATCAGACTACCTTATATATACTTACAACCTTGCACTTGCTTTATATTTTTCAAATTGAAAAATATTACTCAAGAAGAAATATAAAATCTGAATAGACTTATAAAAAGTAAAAAGATTGAGTAATCAAAAAACTCCCCACATGCCCAGGCTTTACTGGTGAATTCCATCAAACATTTAAAGAAGAATCAAAACCAATACTTCATAAACTCTTCCTAAAATACAGAAGTGTAGGGAACACTTCCCAACTCATTCTATGTCACCAATTACCCTAATACTAAATCCAAATGAAGACATCACAAGAAAATTACAGCCAACATCCCTTATGAATACAGATGCAAAAATATTTAACAAAATACTAGCAAACTGAATCTAGCAACATATAAAAAGGATCATATACAATAACCAGGTATAATTTATCTCAGGAAAGCAGGAATGGTTCAACATATGAAAATCAGTCAATATAATATACTATTAATAGAATGAAGAACAAAAACAAGTAACATCTCAATAGACACAGATAAGTATTTGACAAAATCGAAACCCTTTCATGATAAAAACATTCACCAAACTAGGAATAGGAAAGAAACTCCTCAGCCTGATACAGAGCATCTAAGAAAAATCCACAGCTAACATCATACTTAATGGTGAAAGACAATGCTTTCTCCCTAAAATCAGGAATAAGACAAGGATGTTCACTCTTGCCACTTCTATTCAACTTTGTACTGAAGGCTCTAGCCAGAGCAGTTAGGCAAGAAAAAGAAATGAAAGGCATCCAGACTGGAAAGGAATGAGTAAAACTATCTCTATTTGCAGTTGATATAATCTTATATATGGAAAATCCTAATACCCCAAAACTGTATTAGAATTAAATGAGTTCAGGGCCGGCCCGGTGGCGCACTGCTACAGTGCGCCGCTTGGGAGCGTGGTGGTGCTCCCGCCAAGGGTTCGGATCCCACATACAGACCGGTTCCCGCTTACTGGCTGAGCGAGGTGCGGGAGCAACACTGAGGGTTGCGATCCCGTTGCCGGTCCCGGTCCGGTGCAGGCGCAACACTGAGGGTTGCAATCTGTTGCCGGACACGAAAAAAGACAAAAAAAAAAGAATTAAATGAGTTCATCGCGATTTCAGGTTACAAGATCTATTCACAAAAATCAATTGTATTTCTATACTCTTGCTACAACAATCCAAAAATAAAATTAAGAAAATCATTCCTTCTATAGTAGCATCAAAAACAATAAAATACTCAATTGTATTTCTATACTCTTGCTACAACAATCCAAAAATAAAATTAAGAAAATCATTCCTTTTATAGTAGCATCAAAAACAATAAAATACTGAATAAATGTAACAAAGGAAATGTAAAATCTGTACACTGAAACTATAAAACATTGAAAGAATGAAAGAAGACCTAAATAAAAGAAAAGACAGCCCATACTCATGCATTGGAAGAATCCATGGATTTGTGGATTGGAACAATTGTTAAGGTAGCAATATTCCCCAAACTGACCTACAGACTTAATGCAACCCCTATCAAAATCTCAGCTGCCTTTTTTTGTGGCAGAAATTGACAAGGTGATTCTAAAATTCATATAGAAACAAAAGGGACCCAGAATAGCCAAAACAATGTTCAAAAAGAAGAATGAAGTTGGAGAATTCACACTTCTCGATTTCAAAACTTACTTAAAAACTACATTAATCAGAGACTGTGTGGTACTAGCATATAGACATATAACTAAATAAGAGTCCAGAAATAAACCCATACATTTATGGTCAATTGATTTTGACAAGGGTGAAAAGAAAATTCAATAAAGGAAAGAGTGGCCTTTCCCACAACTGGTGCTGGGACAACTGGATATGCACACGTTAAGAGAGTGAAGCTAGACCCCTCTCCCTCCCTCATTCAACGTCACAGTTCACAGTCTTGATTTTATTAAGACTAATTTTAGTTTTATCTCTTTCTGATGTTTCTTTAGAACAAATCTACTAATCCTGTAGTTATTTTTTTTTGACTGGTAAGGGGTTTGCAACCCCCCTCAGCATGGTGTGGTCCGCACCACGCTCAGCCACACTCAGCACACTGGCCATCCTCATACAGGATCCGAACCCGCGGGCCTCGGCACTCCCAGTGCTGCACTTTCCCGAGTGAGCCACGGGTCCAACCCCTTTTAGTTTGTTTTTAATATTAACTTTTATTTTTCTTAAAATAAAATGCCAACATTTAAAAAAATCAGATTGTGCTACTGAATAGCTTATAATAAAATACAGCAACTCTCTGTCCCATCTATCTACCCTTCTCTCATCCTACTCCCCAGAAGTAACTACTACGAATTTGTTAAACGTTTCTTTTAATCAGATCTGTTAATAATTTCTTATCTCTCTGGATAATATGCTAACATTGCTAGTTTTTGACTGACCCATTTTGGAGAGCATCTATTTATTTTCTGTTAGAATGCTAGAGGTTTAAGCTTTCACTTTCCCTGTCCCCAGACACTCAAGCTTTTTATAAAATCAAGTGTTTTTCATATGAAACTCTTAAGTTTTTCCAAATGTTCCAATAAAATTTTCACATTTCTACCAGTATTTTTCCAAATGCTCAAATACTTTTCCAAAGCCTGTCAGATATATTCCCTGGCTCCTATCCCTGATTTCCTCCCAAAGCATTCTTCTCTTATACTTTATCCTAGACAGGTTCATCTCTAGATCTCTCACTCAGTATGTATAAATGACTGACAATTTTGGAAGTAAAGAGGTGAACAGTAGCACAATGCGCACCTGAAACAGAAGGAAAACTGGTATTAGTCTAAGATGAAAAAAGAAGACACTTGGAAATAAAGAATATAAACAAGCTTACTTCATAATTTTGCTTAAGATCCAAAGTTTACCTTTAAGTGGACAAGGAACAATAGACTAATCTTTAAAAGTATTTTTCTCTGTTGCTCTAAGTATAGTTTGCTCTACTTCTTATGCTTACTTGTTGTTTTTTCCTTTGACATTCTACATTTGTTTTCATTTTTAACTTTCATTACAACAAATTTCAAACTACAAAAGGAAACAGAATAATGAACCCAATGCTTATCAGCTCCAACAACTAGCAACTCGTGGCCAATCTTGTTTCATACTCCTACATACTTTCTACCTTATATAACTTTGAAGCAAATCCCAGATATCATATTTCAGTGTATATGTCTAAAAGATCAAAACATAACCAAACTATTGTTAGCACACCTAACAAATTAACAATAATTCCTTGATGTTATCAAATATGAGGATACTTCAAAAAGTTCATGGAAAGAACCATACTATCTTTCAATTCTATTCTTCCATGAACTTTCTGAAGTACCCTCATATCTAGTCATAGTATTCAAATTTCCAGTTGTACTGATAATTTTTTTTTAAATGTTTCTTCTATATTGGTTCCTGAGATGCTTAATGTTTTATTAGTACTTAATTAAGTGCGTAGAAAAGTGATGGAGATTGTGAAATATACCCTTGTCTACTATGAAAATCTTCCTAAACTGTTACCAATTCTTGATCACATGGAATTTAGTTAAAAAACAGATACACCTATCAATATCCCAGGTCTTGGAAAGGGAATCTTGAATATTATAAATCTGCCAATCACTCGCAAACTAATTTGTACATTTGGTGGGTTGCTAATCAAAATACAAAACATAGTTATTTTTTAACTATATTATCCTAAAAGCACATGAAATGAAAAGATACACAAAAGATGTGAGAAAATTATAACAAAGAATGAGAGATGGGCATCGTCCCAATTTACTAAAAAAGTGATTCTATAGAGTCCATCAACAATATTATGGACAGTGGAGTCTAAGCAATTATCTCTTTATAGAAAATCTTTCCTACTGTTTCTTTTTTAAAAATAGAAACAGCCATTTTTTCCCACTGTCAAAGTTCTTTCTTCCCCAAACTTCAAAAAAAGTAGTTTCAAGATTCAAAAAAAAAAAGTAGTGAGAAGTAATTCTACAAAATATTAATATACTATAATAATTACACATGGATGACTACATGACAATTATATTGTATGTAAAAGCTGAATATATGAAACAGGAAACTCTCTGTAGTGGGAACCTTGCAAAGGTGAGACAGGAACCAGAGAGGCAGAGAAGCATCCCCAATTTACTCAGAGATTCCAGGAAGAAAGTCTCAAAACTCAAAGGTGAGTTACCTGCAAGTCCCACTCCTCTTCCATTATAAGTAGGAAATAGACCCTTTAATCAGAGCATAGATTCAATGACATATAAATTGGATTCTTATTTGAGCTAGAAAAATTAATATATTTAATATGAAAAATTAAAATATTTAAATATTAAATATATTAAAAATTATATTCATAATATATAACATTAAATATATTAATATTTAATTATAATTTTTTATATTTAATATGAACAAACCAAGAATCACCAAACACTTATGAAAACTAGGAGCATGAATAAGACTCACCAAATTCAACAAACAGAAGTACTAGCCTCCAAAGAAACAGAATTACTAGGAACAAAAAAGAGAGAAAGAAAACAAAATTTAAATTATAATGTGCAGGAAGATCAAGTTAAAGAATTCTCCCACTAAAAAAGGGCAAAAAGAGGAAAAGTATAAGAAAACTGCTATGGATCATGAAAGACCATAGTTTACAAGGGAATGGAAAAACCATAAATACAAAGAAGGAATTAACAAAAGGGAAAGAGGAAATCAATCAACCAAAAAAAAAAAAGAGTTGATCAATAAGCCAATAATAGCTAGCTAGCTTTTTAA